GCATTCTTTGTAAGTGGGCAAACCTGCAAAATCAGCAAGGGCTCAAATACTTATTTCCCCCGCTGTATGCAAACAAAAATAGTGACTACAGGAATTCCTGGATCTTATCTGCCATTGTTTGCCATACTTTAATAATAATAATAAGCCTGAGCTGGTATTTTCTGAGGGATTCCAAGGGATCAATAAAGTACAAGTCTAAGTCTAACAGAAAGGAACACATAAAATAAAAAAAAATTTAAAAAGGAAACCAGGCGGCGAACCCCCATCTTGGATCTCTATAGAACTCTTACAGGACCTAAGAGACTATATTCCAACAACATACAGTGGGGGAAATAAGTATTTGACCCCTTGCTGATTTTGCAGGTTTGCCCACTTACAAAGAATGCTTATTTTTCCTCATCAGATGGTTATCAATTTTAAAAAATTCATATCAGAATCAGAAATACTTTAATAATCCTAGAGGGAAATTATTTTTGTTACAGGCTCCATAAGTAAAACAAAGGCATATACATATATACATGTCTGTACATATATACATATGATGTGATTTTCTGGAATTTTCTTTGGGATTGTGTCTTTCACTGTTTGAATGTACATATGATTAAAGTTATAGATCGTTGCATTCTTTGTAAGTGGGCAAACCACTACAGGAACTCCTGGATCTTATCTGCCATTATTTACCATACTATAACAATAATACTAAGCCTGAGCTGGTCTTCTTTTCTTTAACCAGTTCCAGGAGTTGCCGGTTTCGGCCCCCGGTGAGGAGGCTCCATCTAAGGCCCCCCCCTCGCCGAAGCCGGGCCTGAGCCCCAAAGCGGAGGCGGACCCGGGGGACCTGAGCTGTGCCAGCTGGGTGGTGGACGGGTCCGGGTTCCTGTCCCCGTCCGGCCCCGCCCTGAAGGAGGTGCTGGACCTGGTGGACGGGGTAAGACGGACATTAGGAGGTTTATTTATCCATGTTTGTTCAGTTTTCTGGTTTTTTTAAAAACTTTTTTTTTTCTTTGTTGACAATTAGAAGGTGTGAAAAAGAAAAAAGCAGAGAAAAAAACAAATGCAACATAATCCAAGAATAAAACAAAACAGAAA